TTTTATTCGGCTTAATTCTAAAATTTTTGTCATTTATTTAATCTGAGGGAAAATAATTGCGCGCTCTTCAGTAAGCTTCATTATTTAGTAATCAGCAATTTATCTATAATGGTGTGTACTTTCGCAGATTTGATCTATGCATTGAAAAGTGAAGTAATCAAAAGTATGAGGTGTTCTATTAAAATGTATAGCAAATTAAAGTCTCCTTGTCAGTTTTCATAGGCGATAATGGGGTTTCTAAACCTAATTTTAAATTCAGTAGTGATAAAGTCAACGTCCTGGAAGTTACAATTTTAGAAGTGGGCTAAACAAATATCGTTAGTTCGATTGCTCTATTTCACTCTAAACATAGCAGATCATTTCAATGTCATCGAGTGTTAAGTTCGCTCTGATCAGGGGCCTTTCTCCCACTCCTACAATGGTATTCTATGGTTAAACATGTCCCTTTGACCATAGTCACACATGGCTGTCACTGGCTATGTTATTCCATGTTTGGCTTTTGCCTTGGACATGGTTGATCATGTTATATCACGGTCTCTTTTTCACCTTAAAAATCTTCATCCATGTTATACTATTGTTTGCTGTTGCTGCCTTTTCAATATTATACATGGCCATTGTCTTCATGATCATACACGGTTCACAAAGCACCTACGTTGGTAATTTTGTTCATGTTCGACCATGTTCAAATAAAGTTGTGCCATTGAACGTATATAGTTGACAATGGTTTGGTTCACCGTGGTCAAGCCATGGATTTACCATTGCTGGATCATTTCAAACCATGGTAGCTGACAATGATCATCAATGATAAAACAATGGCTGACCATATATAGTCTGATTATGGTCCTGACGCAGAGGAATGAGTCTCCCCAACAGATCGAGGTTAGCCTCCCACGCAGGCGTTTCTAGGGGAGTCTTTACTCCCCCCACCCTCCTCAGAAACCGCCACCTGCTTACCTGAAACCAACATTTCTTTCCGCCGCTTAGCCAGTCATATTGTACCTACCAAAGTCTGGTAGGTTGACATTGACCGCAGTTGACCGCATGAGGCTTTCCGCGCAAATCGAGCCGGAACGATGTAAACATAATATATTGCACACGAAATTTAACATAGTGAACAACTAAATTTAAGGACAGGGCCAACTGGTCACGCGACACTGTTCAACCAATGAGAAGGCGCGCTTGTGCTTATCAAAACATCGACCCTGTTATCAAAATTTTTTCACAATGGCGGACGGAGGCGGACAGATTTTAACATAAGCTTACAGTACTCGTGTAGGTTTCACACTATTGCAAAGAAAGCACTTGATGTAAGAGAATAAGAGTACCATTCATTGCAAGGAATCGTTGGGGAGTTCGAATATTCCGGACCGATCACAAAGGTCGTGGCTTCACTGGCATGGCTTGCAAGATTTGATAAAAGCAAACTGGTCCCGTGTAAAAATACCCGTAGAGAGTGTATGAAAATTTGTTGAGATCGTACAAAACAAGATTGGTACCACCTATTAACTTCTACAGGACAAGAATCAAAGAACCAGTCATCATAACACGAATAAAAAGTAGTTCAAATTTATCAATTTTTCTTGGTTGTTCGTTTTTTTGTATTGTTTCGTGTTGACTTCACTCATCTGGTGCTTTCTTTGCTTGCTGTAGTACCTGTAAGGTTTTAATTTCAACCCAGATTATCAGTGTTCAATGAGTACCGATCATCATTTACAGTTGAAATTTGCCTTCTTTCTTTGATTTTTTTTTTTTTTCATACTGTGGATGAACATTTGGAGAATCCAACGGTAATAAATCTTTCCAGATTTGGCGAGTTTCAGAAACAAGGCGGTTAGTATCTACCTTACGTTTATGACCCTTAATTTTATCCCCGCCAAAATTCGGCTGCGTGAAACCCGGGAGTGGAACACATGTTTTGGGCCTCGGAATTCAAAAATTGTCTACCAAAATTCTAGGTTGTCTACCATCTCCATATTCAACATGATAAAAGTTAATCGATATGACAATCGAGGAAAAATATCTAGAACTTCGTCAAAAAAGCTGTGAATCCAAAAAATAATAGATACTTGTTCATCTACCTTGAAAATCGACAGAAATCTCGCCTACATCGCGTTGTTTAAAAGAAGACATAAGCCACAAAATGTGCTGAATATTTCACGAGGCATTTCTAATATGGCTGCCCACTCAAAAAAAAAATTGTGTATGCCTCATGAAAAGTCTTCGAAATTTGCCTGAGAGCCTCGAAACGGTGACTCTGGTTGTTTAGATAATCGATCCGCCTTTTTCCTCGAGAGAAATAGCTCAATGACGTCACAACTATCCTTAAATTTAGGGATATTCCGGACTTCGGTTTGTCTGAGTTATTTGCAGGAAGAAGAGGCGGAGAAAGTGGAGAAAGTAGCCTATTCCGTTGTTTTTGACACTCCAATGATTGTCGGAGAGAATGTCAGTTACGTCCCACCTACACATTAGGAAAAGTTCTGTTGACGAGGCCTGTGTTATAATGCAATGCTTATAGCAGGAAAGATGAAACAATTTTATGATTCTAGTTTCTAGATGAGTATTTTCAGAGATTTCTTCGCCGCTGACGTTCTTTGTTGTTGTATGGAGTGCGATGTTTTCACCTCTGATCTCAACAACTTTATCGGCAATTTGCCGATTTACTCTTTGATATACAAATTAATAAACGCCAAATATCTTCTCTTTGATGCCCTCTAAATTCCCCTTCACTTTTTCAAAACGCAAGAGCCTTTTTGTGCCATTTAGCGTGCAAGTAAACAAATCGGATCCAGCGTTTTGATGTTGCTGAAATTTAAACCGACTGCCGGCTCGAACAAGCGAGGAAGATCAACTCCCGTTTTCCCGAAAATTTAACTCTCCCTGCAGATGACTGATTTAAAGCGTCGCACAAAAAGCGCTAGTATTTATTTGAAATAATTCCTATTTCTAACCTCACAGCGCCCGCATTTCTTGAGTTGCAGTTGTGGACTTAGTATCCTAGCCTTTGAATTAACGAGAGGGTGAGGTTGACCTCGTTAGTCTCGCTTGCGTAAGTAGCGAGACTCATAATCTGCAACGCGTTTTTCGCCCCCCGTGGGGGGGGTACTCCCTTATATAGGCTATCTAGGTCTGTGCGGCGCCAAAAGGTATGGTTTTTTAGCCGTTTTGGTCTGAAATATGGTATCAATTTCGACCATTTTGGTCTAAAATAAGGTATGGTTTGTGCACTCTAGTCTTGAATTGGGTATGTTTTTAGAAGAAGCTATTTCTTCATCATTTGGCGATAAGACCATTTCCCTTTTAATGTTTACGCCAACCGTGTACGTGCCGTAACAGCTTGTCTCGCGCTCCGGTCACGCGACCGGCTCCAGGTCTTCAGGTCTGAACTAGGGTATTAACTATTTGGTCAGGGTAGCAAAAATCACAGATTTTGGTCTGAAATAGAGTAAGGGTTTCAGGAAAGCGTGAGGCACACCCCCACCCAGTTTTCCTGGAAGTACCCACCCGGGGTTTTTCGTCGTAATTTTATACCCAAATGGGGGGTCATTATGCCAGGCGTTCCTTGTGGAGACCGTGGAAACTGGGACTAAGAATCGTTGCGTGATCGAAGCCACGCATGTTTGGGAAAGATTAAATTTTCCGAAACGTGTCGGTCTACGAATTCTATCGCTTCAAAGCGTTGATCACTTTGGAACAAGTGGACACTACTGAGTAGTTGAAAAAAAAAAAAAAAAGAAGAAGAAGAAGAATCTGAATTAGCAAAACGGCGATGGTCGGGTGTTGTAATCTTTCATTGTATGCAGATCGATCTTGTGACGAGAATGCAGTTTATTTTCGGCGATGATTGAAATGAGGTGCCATGTAAATCACTTTTTTGATCTCTGGCAATTACGTAATTTCTCTGGATTCGAGGCCCTTGAATCTTCGTGTATATATACACGCGTAAAGCTTCCGACCGCAATCGTATTTCCGGTCGTCGCTAACGCACGTACTAAATCAATTCAGAAACAAGTAAAAAGCCTCGACGTCGATAAAGTAGGAAGTAAAAAACCCTTAGCGAGTAAATCCTGTTTCGTGTAGAATTAATGGCCTCCTCATTTCTCGATCTAATCTCCAAGCAAGCGAGACTGAATCAGGCTGCAAGCGCGCTCTTGTTTTGATACAGACTTCCTTCCCTTTGTAATGAGAATTATGCTTGAAAAATACTAGTTAGCGAAAGAACACCATGATTTACATAATAAAGCAGGAAGGGTTATATCAAAAGAAGGTCAACTCCAGCCTCGTTTTCACAAGGAACTATAAAATAGGCTATTCGCGTGAATTTTTTAAAATAATAAATCCCACTGCTGATTGGTCACATTACCATGAGGGTAAAACAATGGGAAAGGAATGCTGGACTTGGGTAAGCAGGAGTTTGTGGAAGGGTGGAAATACGACTCCTCTAAGAACATTTGCGTGGGAGGCTAGAACGAGGTCTGCTAATAAATAAAATAAACTGCGTATTATAATTCCTCGTGAAAGCGAGGTTAACAAATCTGTCAGAATTTGCATTGCGTTTGGCTCCCACGAGAATCGCAAGCCAAGCAAAGAGCTATGTCGGCCGTTACGCCCGAGAGCAAATTAACACCGAAGTAATGCAAAATGGCATTGAAATACTCGTTTAAGCTAATTTCTCTCAAATTTATTTTGGAAGGCGTGATAAATACAGCTCCAAAAGCTTCAAACAGCGTGTACGGCAGAGAAAAATGCTCAAAGTGTAACAACTTTAGCGGATCAATTATTCAATGGCAGCGTGGCCCAGTAGTATGGGTTTTCTTTGAACATTTTTCTCTGTTTAGTTTTAGATTTTTTTATCACATTTTTCCCTTTCGCCTCTTTCCCTTTATCCTCGCTGCTGACCGTTTTTGGCTTCGCGAGGTTTTTTTGCGATAACGTATTTCTAGTAGGACAAAATAAAACATTTAGAGAGAGATCATATGGCATCATCAAATTCTTTAAAATTACAACAGAACATTGCAACTCTCACCTTTAGTGACTGATATTTTAGCAACCTTGATGGGATTTCCTTTTAAAACGACCTATAGTATTTGTGGTCAACAAAAAGTTACATTTATAATTATATACATTAGAATAATTATATACATTCATAAATATAAATATGTTTTGTTGGCTGTAACATATTCAGTTACTTAACAATTATGCTACGAGTGTGCTTTGGATATGAGTTGGCTATAATCATCTCATATCCAACAAGCGCGTGTGGAATAATTGTTTTATTAAAAACGCCCACAAAATATGTAGAATTCTTCCCGACTTCATTTGTAAAAACAATCGATTTTCAGCTTGTTTTTATTTTGAGGAAACGCGTACAGTTACCACATTTGGAGAGCATGGTTTTATGGCTCATATACCATGATGGCTAAGCCAATGAGAGCGCTAGAATTGTTTTATCCAATGATTCAGTATTTAAAAAAATGCTTTACATGGTGTTAGACCCGAGCATGTTGTTGGCAAAATGGCAATAGTCTTTGACTGGACTTTTAACTAAACTAGATTTACCTTTTCGGTTCTGTCATCAGTCAAAGCTCTCTGAAAGACAATATAATCCTCTCCTTGTTGCAAGGCGGTATTTTTGTAAGCTCCATAGTATTTCTCATCACCAACTGTGAATGTCCAGGTTGTCTCGTGCACTGGATCGTTACTTATCTCAGCAGAAACGTAAAAGTCGATGTTGTATTGCGACGCACCCTCTGAATTTTTGAGCTTAGAATCAAAATCGGGTGGAAGGTTCTTGTTGCAATAAGCCACCTTCAGAACTACGACCTGATAAGCACTGGAAAAAAAAATTAAGCGATAATAAAGGGCTTTCAGACAGATGCAATTTTGTTACAATATGAAGTGTGACTTAGGGGTGACCATTGATTCAAAGAGCGAAAACAGATCGGATCAAACTATCAGATGGTTATTAGTGTCAATTGTAGGAATGCTGATCAAAATTATCTATTTAGGGATCCGTTAGGTTAAGAGTATTAGAAGACAGAGGAATGATTCAACCAGCTTTTCAGTGAAATATAATTTTAGTCTTATCTTTATCTTTATTTATTGATTCATTCATTAATTTACTCATTTCCTACTTTTCCTTTTCTGCACTCCAGTATTGAATGTGTTATTAACAAGGTTCATACAAAAAACTGCAACCATTGTTTCGAGGACTTTTCAAGGACCACATTAGATTTTCAAGGACCATCTACTAGGATTATAATTTCACATATTGTAAAAAAAAAAAATATCACATGCCCAGTTTATTCTAATAAGGCTTGAACTGTTTGCTTCACCAACTTTTCTACATTTTTCAGTTCACCTGCATTAACCTGACAGTAAATTATTGCATAAGACATAAAGCACTTTACGTAAATAACCTTTAAATTTTCTGAACTATGATTTGTATTGAAGTCTTCAACAACCAAAAAGCATCAAAAAACACTTTCCAGGTCACTACATTCAAAGCTGAAGAAAATTCAAGGACTTTTCGACAATGACTTGCACAGAAATTTAAGGACTTTTCAAGGACTTTCCTTAAACTTCAATACTGTACGAACCCTGATTAACAAAGTTTTTAAAGTTTCTTCAGGATCGAAGCGGGAAATAGGCCGTTTTTGTTCTCTAACGACCTGATTTCCAAATTCTCTTAGTTTCTTGTGCGGCCCTCGGCCTTGGTTAATAACATATTTTACAATAACTGAATCATTTCTCGCGCGCTGATTGGCTGACTGTTATGATCGATAAGAGGAGAGGCACATAAGATTTTAATTCATGCAAGACGCGGCCATTTGCCGAACGAATGCCAAGCTTCGATGTTTTTTTTTAGTTTAGTTTTTTTCGTAGAAGATTCACGTTCTGTCTACCACGAAAAATAGCCAGATAGCTCTGATGCAAGACTTACATCATGTCTGAATTCTCTACAAAAAGCTCAAGCATAGGAAACTGAACAAAATCACTTAGTTTCCAAAGCGGAGACCACTTGCTAGAAATTATACAGCTACAAAAACTGCGATTCAGATAAGCTTTAAACATTCATAACGAAAGTAAGAAAACAATTCTGAAAGTCTAGTTTATTCAAAATAAAGACGTTAACTACAGCAGTTTTCTTTTGACAAGAACTGAGTATTTTCTGATCCCTTTTTCTGCAAGCAAAACCAACTTCTTATACAAACTTGTGAACTTTGTAAGTACATGGTAAGTTAAGTTGAAGACTACATGCGTGCAAAACCAACCTCTCGGTTTGATTGCACACAGTTCACATAGCTGAAGGTGTTCAGGACGAAAAACAAGACTCAAACTAAAATAAGCAACAGGTACACGACATATGTTCGTACTGTTCGGTTAGCAAGCTTTCAAAACTGCCCGGCTAGTTGCTCTAAAGACAGCTCAACCGTACATGGCTCCGACTTGTTCGGTTATTTCGACGGCTCTAAAATCGTTACTCAGAACAATTTTTAACCCAGGGCTAGTTTACGACTTTATACTAGCCCAAAATGCCTCTATTTCTCGAGAAAATAAACATCGCTGATCTCATGCTTGTTCTGAAGTTTGGAAAACAATAAATTCCTAACGTTATGCAGGGCAGTGAGGTGTCTCTACCCGTCAAATTTTTAGCCAATGAAACTCAGTTACCCTTCTTTAGCAGCCAATCACCAAGCGAGAAAAGTTATTGACAATAACATTATGCTAGTTTAAAAAAAGTCATAACTCTTGTTGAGTTTTCTTCATTTTACCAGCATTTTGACTTTTTCGAGCTTTTGTTAATGTAAAAAACAAATTGACGCTAGGTTTTTATATATGTCTGTCCTCTTATTAATGAAAAAATGACGTCATATCATGTCAAAGTTTTATCGATCCGTGAACCACTTAAAACGAGCCGCTGGTCAATTTTTGCTGCACATTTCGACCCTGGATAGATCCCTTTGAGTAACAAGAAGTATATGTAAATATAGGTTGGAACGCTGGCATTCTCATTTCAGCACTAATGAACTTAGTATGCAATATTACGTCAAAGGAAAGAAGTGGACAAACCTTGTGTGACAAGCGTGACAATATTTACGTTTGAAAAATTTTTCCCACAAACTTCACCTTCTTTCAAACAAATCTTTTTGTAAAAGCCCAAAAGCCAGTAATTTTAAAAGAAGATCACGATAAAACACGCAGGTACCAGCCCTGTCAAGCCTTTTACACACAAACCTTTCACGTTCCTCTCCTTTCTGCCGTCCTGTCGCGTAAACGTAATACTATGATCGGAAATCTATTAGTGAGGAAACAAGGCTTTGATCATACCTTATGGGGCCATTTCTTTGTTCTGCAGGCCATAACTGGATAACAGCACTTGTCTTTGAGGCACTTATATCAGTTATCTCTCCAACGTATGGTGCAAGGGGAGCTATAAAAGTAAAATTAAAAAAAAAAGTCAAAAAGAAGATGAATACATAGAGGAACTAAGCCGAGTTAACTTTGGCAAGACTTCTGGGACTGTTACTAAGGACGGGGAAAAAATGGCCAATGGCTGACTGCCGCCTTCCATTAAGGATCCCAGAAGCAAATGCGGGACGCATTTCGGCGCCGGTTCCCCCCTCGTTACTAAAGTGGCCAATGGTGAAAGAGAAAACAATGAGCATGGCCTGTGTACAGACCCCTTCCCTCAGGAAAGATCGAGGGGAGGGGGAGGGGGGTCTGGAGCACAGATCTGAAGAAACCAAAACACAAGTGCCTTAAGGTTTGAAAATAGCATTTTTACGCGAAACGAGCTCTAAACTGCTGAACCAGGAACTGATCAAAACTGACATTAAAAGTGAATTACATGTCAATTTAATGAACGAAGTTCATTTTACGATCTACAAAACTCGTGCGGTAACCTAACATTGCCCAAGGCACGCAACAATTATCTAAAGCGTAGAACACTAAAATAATTATTTGTAACTTTGAATGTTACTGAAGATTTTACCGAGTTTAAATTAAAGTTGTATGTATATTTATATACGTAAAACAGTCGACATTGTTGATCCTAGCGCTATTCAACAACCACAAAGGGTCAGTCCGATTAGATCACAGACGGAGAGTTTAAATCGCCCAGCTGCCATTCTGGAAAGCCACAGGTTCGAATCCCCTCGGGGACTCAAATAAAACTATCCTTTTCTCAAAGCTCAACATATGAATAATTCCAATAAAATTAAAAGTAAAGTGACTTCAATCTTCATGAAAATACACAGATTTGGTTTTAAATTTTAGTTAGCTGGAGCTGCTTTTGCTTACCGGATATTTTCGTGGTTACGTCAACAGCAGTGGGTTGGCGTTCCACACAGACCGATTCACCACTAACTTTAAACTTATACAAAGTACCAGGTACCAAATTCTCCAGCAAGTAGTTTGTCTCCTCTTGTGCGTCATGTTCACCAATATCCAAAAACGATGTGTTGTAATCCTTTGTCCCCGTGTATTTAACCTTAATTAAAAAAAAAACCCTTAACATTTAGCGGAGGCAGCGTGGCCGAGCAGTTAGAGCTCTGGACTCGGAGGAGGCCCCGAGTTCATGTCCCGCTTTGACCGCTGGCTGTATTTGTTCTCAGTAGTCCCGAGTTCAAATCCTCGGCCACGTTTTTTTATTAATACTATCATTATCATTATGACTTGTTCCTTTCCCCTCATCCCTCTTCGTCAGCTTTGTGTCTTGAAGAAGAAGAAGAAGAGGAGGAAGAGGCGGAGGCGGAGGCGGAGGCGGAGTAGGAGGAGGAGGAGGAGAAGGAGGAGCAGCAGCAGCAGCGGCAGCAGCAGCAGCAGCAGCAGCAGCAGCAGCAGAAGAAGAACAAGAACAAGAACAAGAACAAGAACAAGAAGAAGAACAAGAACAAGAACAAGAACAAGAACAAGAACAAGAACAAGAAGAACAAGAACAAGAACAAGAAGAAGAACAAGAACAAGAGCAAGAACTGGAGAGGGAGGTGAAACGAACCCGGAAATTGCGCAAAGTAATGGTAGTGCCAGTCGTTATTGGTACATTTGAGACTGTCTTAAGATATAGAATAGTGGTTAATTGAGACTGGCGTCACCAGTCGTCTAAAACCATTACAGCGAGCGTGCCATTAGGAACGGCCAGGATCCTTCGCAGTCTTGACACTTGGGCCCGTTTCTCGAAGGGCCCGGAGACTTTACGGGACAGAAGACAAATTTTAAAGTCAAACCCTGTTGAATATTAATTAGCACAGTTCTTAGCTCACAAACCAGTCAATTTTGCTTCGTTAACTGATACTTTTTATTGTATCATTTTCAGAATTATTGGAACCTTGATCTTGAATGCAAACAAGACAAAAAGGGGACTTTCGAGAAACAGGTCCCTAGGGCCACGGCCGGTGGAATGATGTCCGCAAAGTAGGACTCCAGGAAACCATCCAGCTGAGTGTAATGAAGATAATGATAATGATAATGATAATGGTTGATGATGATGATGATGATGATAATAATAATGGAAATAATAACGGTAATGGTAATCAGAAAAGGAGGAATGCAGCAAACCATCCAGCTGAATGTAATGAAGATAATAATAATGATAATGATAATAAACAGAAATGCAATCAATCGTCATATTTTACGATTATAAGTTGATAGAGATCGTCAGCTAATGTGTTACGTTCGACCTGTAGTCAGTGTCCTTTATACACCTCTCACCTTGTATTTGACGCCCCCCGCTCGGACATTTGTTGGTGGTGTCCATTCCAGCCTCACCTTCGTTTCTTCAATCATGGCCACTGACACTCTAGGTGCGGCTGGCCCTTGAGAGAAAACATATCGGTAATAAATCCAGGCAAATTAGATATGGTTGAAATGGACAGACGTGCCCGGCATGAAAGCAACCTTCCTACCCGAGAGAGAGAGTTATGGGACAGAGAGGGAAACTTAAGGGGTTGGCCAGGAGGATGAATTTAGGTTTCTGTGCAACTGACCACCTACCCCTCCCCTAAGCCAGCATTAACACTTACTTCTCACTTAGGGCAAAATGTTGGCTAAGGGGAGGGGCAGGTGTGCACTTTCCCAGAAGCCTAAACAATTGATCCGGCCGGGATATGTGAATTTCACTTATTAAGTTATTTTTAGAGGTTGTAATTAAATAGAGGTGTAATTCCTGGGACGTCCGCACATTTTAATCGATTGCATTAAAGGTCATCAAGTCCACGCGCGACTATCTCAAGGCAAACAATGCAGAATATTGTAATGGTGACGCAACAAGAGGGTACAATGTTCCATTATTCTCTCTTGACAGCACTGAATAAAAGTTTGCGAACCTTTCTGGATATTCCGATTGATTTCAAGTGTTTTATTGGTCTGGAAATAACTTTGGTGGAATTAACACATCCTAAGGGCTAGCCTGGGAGTTTCCCATGTGTCTAATTACTCTCTCTTCTCATACCCCAACACTATACCGGGAGAGAGGGGTCAGGGAGGAGGGACTGGACTTCTTT